TTCTTGCTTGGTTAGTTTGTTTGCTGCCCCGGACTATTTTAATTCTCGCATTATTTTGTCATCTCTTGGTTCAAATAGAAGGAAAAGTTTTGACTTAGGTTTCTTTCGCTATCGCCTTTGTCGTGCACATATTTATTTTGTGCTTGCCTTTCCTAACACATAGATCCATAAGACTTATGTCTTACATCTTGCGGCTTACGTTGCATCCCATACTCCATAAAATTTCTCACTTCATGCCTCACCCTTTAAAACATTGTGCATGACCAAGTAAAACATCAAATAATTTGATAAGCGGAGTTCATAAAGCATAGTATAAGGTCAATGCAATATTCTTAAAATCATATCATAAGCTTAATCATAATCTTTTGAAGAAATTACAAATTGCTATGGGAGATACCATTAGCTAACATAATACATGTGAGCTATTACATCGGAGTTTAATGTATTACTCTCACACTGAAAAAATAGTGTCTTACCTACCAAGATAAGGGTCATAATCATAAGCTAAGGTGAATCCACCCACTAATATCTATTCTGGACAATTTTACAAAGGCACGCAATTTAGGAACCTGGGTAATCGTCACTAGTATGCCTATGCTAAGTAAGCTCCCAACGAAAACATGCATAATTGTATCATTTCAATAATCTTAGTCTTTAATATGGTAAGAATCTAGTAACACCAACTCGTTCTTGAAGACTCATAATCATAAGAATAGCTCCTTTAAAGTATCATGTTTTCATAACATAATCAATTCATAAGAAACACTTACTCGAAAACATCTATATCACGATAATCTTTCCATAATGAAAATACTTCAATCAGAAGCAACCTAATTTCATAAAATCATGTTGATACTTTATTCTAAAATACCCCTTGAATCATAATTTCTTCAATTCATATCATAATCACTTGCATAGCATGGGTTAATGTAAATATCATTGAAAACATGTAATTATGATCAAATCATGTACAATAAGATCAATGATGATGAATAAGCTTCAAATCCATTAAACCCATAATAGAATCATGAAACCATAGAATTTGGATAAGAATCATGGAGAGACTTTGAGGTTTCTTTGGGACTTAATGGGTGATGATGAATATATTGATAAATTTCACAAATACCTTGATGAGCCCTACCTTTTAATTGAATCTGGAAGAGGAGATTTGGAGCTTGAACAACTCTAGAATCACCTTGAGAGAATATGGAGAAGAAGAATTGAGAGCTTTGGGAAGTTATGAGTGAATGGGGAGGTTTGAAGTTTGAACCTTAGAAATGGTTTTAGGTTTTAGAAATAGGCTTAAAATGACACAGTGTAGGAATTATAAAGTAGAAATGACCCATTTAACCTTGAAAAATAACTGCTGAAAAACTTCTATGAACCCCATGTATGGTTTGTAGAAGCTTCTACGGATCGTACTGTCCATTCGTGAACGAGTTACTGAAAATTAGCTTCTCTAACGGAGGACTACGAGCCAAGGTCTACACACTAGTGTATACCCAACTATAATCTGTGTAACCCCTCGTACACTGAGTCTCAAGTTCCTGGAAAACCATGAGTCATACTACCTTGTACAACCTGTACATCTCTTCCGTAGATCTAAGATAATCAAATTTCACTAAGTGTGGAACACTCTACAGACATCTTACACGAACCGTATATCATTTAAAGAGTCATCATGTTGGCACGTAAAACTTCATTTCACTAAGTATGGAACTCACTTTTACTAGCATCTTACACGACCCTTATATCATTTCAAGAGTTATCATGTTGGCCCGTAAAACTTCACCCAAGACTTGACGTATTCCAGATTTCCAACCACCAGTCCACCACTACTTTCCACTGCCTGCACAACCATCTATAGTCCGCACACTAGGCTCGTGGAACCAATGCATCAACAACTTTCTGCACTTTTTCGTTTTTCAATTCTACTTTTCCACTTCCGAGGCATTACAAATTGTAGTCTTGTGTTCACTCAAAAGAAAATTCTCCGATATGTTTTCATCGAAAATATTTCTTGAATTTCTGATTAAGGACTAGGTTCTTTAGATATTGCTTTATCTTTGATTCTCCTTCAGTTGTATAACAGACAGTGTCAACTTTCTTCTTCAACAGATCCAGTTCTTTTATATAGATAGAATCAAATTCGAATAATGAACATATTTCTTTATAATTCATCCTATAACACATGAACAGATTGGATTAATCTACAATTTTAACATATTTATGAATAGTGCAACTCATTCAAACATCTTAAAAAATTCATAGTGCCAAATATTTTTTGTGAACACAACAATATGAATTTCCAACCTAAGATCTCAGCAGAGCCGTCTCAACCATAAGAATACTAAAGCAAATATTAGGCCCCCCATTTTCTCCCAAAGATGTATATATATTGTTAACAAAAAATTCATGTATTGATAAATTTGAAGACAAAAACTTGTATAGAAAATATAACTGAGAAATTGAATACTATTTAGTTGATTGTAGTATCTTTTCTAGATTCTTATGTAGCATCTATTTTATTATCTAGCTCATTTATATTCTGACGATTATCATGAACCAACAATATTATGTTATTATACTTACATCTCTTTATTCGCCTTCACTATTTTTTATTTTTTCATTATTGAATATTGTGAAGTCTCTCAAATGTTCAAACATTCTACATTATGTAATATCTATTGTTGTGTGTTTATAAATAGATCAAATTTGTTTTTGGTGTCTTATTCAAATTTCAATCACTAAAACTAATCAACACTATTTTAATATTATTTATCAACTTATCAAATTCATTGCAATACTATTTTAATATCATTATATTTTTTTAAAATAATTAGTCATGATTTATTTAAAAAATGTTTTAATGATTTATTATTCCTAACTTTATATTACTTAATTTTTTATTGAAATTTACATTATTTGCATTCTTACTTCATAATGTCTACATATATGATGTTTCTCCGGACCTCATTTTTAGGATTACACTGAATAAGTTATAATTATTCAATTTATATTTGTCAGCTAAAAAAACAATAGAGCCTCTTTATAAAATTTGGCTTTAGGCCCCTAAACTTGTTAAGAGATCCTGCATCAAAGCCTAAATAAAACTTTTATCCATGAGTATCAAACCATATAGACAATTATATTAACTTACAACATTGCTATGGTAAGATTTTGTATGATTTTGGTATCCAAAAGATGGCTCAAAAATATGTTCTTTTGTTAAAGGACGGTTTTCTAATTGTTAATCCTCAATTGTTCACCAAGCCAAAAGTTCAAGGTGAAATTTTTTAGGTTTTGTTGATATTTACACTAGTGTGGCGCACAGGATACCTATCATATGCATCACACCAAGACAATTTTGTACGTTTTGTAGATATTTACACCAGTGTTGCGCACAGGATACCTCCCCTATGCATCACACCAAGACAATATTGTAGGTTCTGTAGATATTTATACGAGATATTTACATTAATGTGGCGTACAGGTTAACTACTCTATGCATCACTCCAAGACAATTTTGTAGGTTTTGTATATATTTACACTAGTGTGGCGCACGGGATACCTACCTATGCATCACACCAAGAAAATTTTGTAGGTTGCATAGATATTTAAATTAGTGGCACACAGGATACTACCATATCCATCACAGCCAGACACTTTTGTAGGTTTAGTAGATACTTACACTAGTGTGGCGCACAGAATGCCTACCCTATGCATCACACCAAGACAATTTTTGCAAGATATTATTCTTTTCAATTCTTTTCATGCGTACTTGAGCATCGGGGTCTTAGTTACGTTCGATCTAAATACTTGTGAATGCCTTCTACTCAGACTTCAAAGTCAAACTTTCCATCTCTTTTTGCATCAAATTGTTGCCTATCCATCAAATCATATTTCACGCACCCAAAACATACATATTAAGTGTGCATCAAAAATTGTTGCCCATCCATCAAATCAGATTCCACACACAAAACATATATATTAAGTGTGCATCAAGTTGTTGCCTATCCATCAAATCATATTTCACACACACAAACATACATATGAAGTGTGCATCAAATTGTTGCCTATCCATCAAATCATGTTCCATACAAAAAAAAACATATATATTAAGTGTAATGTGATCGAAATTGACTTATAATACAAGGGGAAAACAAATATAAGGAATATATTAAGTGTAATGTGATCGAAATGAACTTATAACACAAGGAAAGAAAAAACCAAATATAAGGTGAAATATGTAAAAAGATGTTGTTCTAAATGATGATCATGTGCCAACTAGAAAAAATTGCCTCTTAATTGTGTCAAAAATTGTAGGTTTCATGTATATATAATATGTTATATGACTAATCACATCTTTCTAAAATGTCATATTCACTTTTAGGAATCAAATAACTAAAGTTTTTTCCTTTCTTATTCTTTCACAACTCTTTATTAGATTCTCTTTTCTTTCAATGGCTACAATGAAGATATATATGAAATTATGAATTATTAGTATTTTAGTTCTATGGATTTTGTACCAAAGCATTCTACTTGTGAATCTTAGCTGATCCCACTAAGCAATACAGAAACATGTCCCTTTGATTAAAATAAAATATATACATATTTTATCTCTATGTCCCAAATGTTCTTGCAACCATATTCTGTACCATATTATGGCATCACAACTAACAAATAGGACATCAAAATATAGGATCTAATTAGATTCTTAGAGGGACTTGTCTATAGAGATCCCTTATCATATTTACTTTCGCATCTTGGCTTGTCCAATTGGTCTAATATGCTAAGACTAAACTAAATTCTCATTAAAACAAATTAAAGAAGACTTCTAAATCTTGTGATCTTAAATAAAAAATATGTAAAATGTATCAAAATGTACTTTAATCTTATAATCTTAAACACCTCATGCGTAAAGTTGAAATTAAAAAGTTGTCAAATTATAACAAGCCAATCCTTTTTTCAATATATCGAAAAGGAAAGTACCGGGGGACTAGCTATTAAAGGGCATGATTTACAAAAGAAAGTTCAAACAGAAAAAAAGATTCCTGTTGCTAAGAACAGAAAATATGAATCTCTACCTAAATTTGATCATTACTGCTCAAATTAATCTCAGATACTACCAGCAATTATAGTTACTATGAGGAGATTATAGCAGTGTGATGGTTGTTCTCTCAAAGCTCCAACTGTCTCTGCTATACATTTTATCTTACAACAAATTAGGAAAAATGTTAACAAAGGCAAGTTTCATCTGTCGTTTCGCAATTCATTCTATCCCTTCTACACATACTATACATGACAGCATAACATAATAGCCAAGGTAATCTCAGTCCTTCAGACCAGAAAGGACTACGGTTAAACTATTTTGGGACTCAAAATGTGTAAAAGCGTCCACCTAGTTGGAGGGGTAACAATATAAGTAAACATGGTGCAGTCGATGAACAAAATAATTACAGCCTAGATGGGAAGTCTGAACCCTTTCTGGAATGAAGCTGATCATGTACCTCTAGAAATGGCCAAGTCCCATTCTCTGCAGCACACTTGTTAACAAAAGGTTTGCATGTTTTATCTTTCCTTTTCTCTGGCTGATAAATTGGATTTCGGTGAAGCAGCAAGGATTCTGCTTTCCTCATCTAGCTTTCCTTGATAGGTCATTCCAATCCAATGCCGTAGCAACACAGGAAATAAGTTTCCTTTCAACCCTTGGCACGATACCTCAATCAGCTTTGCCCAATTTAACATTAGTCCTTTGTTTCCTAATATGTATGGTGATAAGTTTTGGAATCAAAAGCTTCTGGTCTCGTTCAGTGGATCATAATCGTAAGCATCACCAGCCTTGACAAAACGTCCCTTCACACGCCTTCTCACATCAGCCCTTGCTTTGCGAGAAGCGTATCTCACATGCTTATCGAATCTATACATGAGATCGGACAATTAGGAGATGTGAACACAGAGAATAAGCCAAAAGTTAGAGGAAACTAGAGATTGCACAACCCAGACACTTTATTTTAGAACAGCACTATTTCTTCTGCATGGAATTAAGGAAACTACTCGCAGGTGAAACTCCACTGGTTATTACAAGAGAACTTACTTGCGGGTCTTCTTCTTTTCCTTGTAGCGCAATACAGCATCGCTTCTGCTACTTGATGCCAATGAACTTTCAGGACATGGATGACACCAAGGTGGTTCTCCCATAAGTAGCATTGTGGAGGCTCCACATTCTTGGTAATCCCCGCCATTGCTCTCTCCTCCAAGGTTAGAAAATGAGAGGATGGATGCTTGCCTTGCAAAGCAAACAGTAGGTTCCGTTTTGCAGCTCATCAGAGAGTCTGCAGACTCTGCTTTGCTACATGCTGGAAGGATTGACATTACCGTTCGAATTGATGAACCCTGGTACATTTTTCATTCATTCAAGTGAATATGTTTAGGTATGATCAAAGAGACTTTCATCATATCAAAAATAATCAGATAAAAAGATGAACGCTGAATCAGAACACTTGAATGGAATGTAACATCATTAATCACTCACAGATCATTCAAAGGAAAAAATGAGGAGGTAAGACTTCCAGCACAACAGGAAGAGATGAATGTTTAATGTTTTTGTGTAGTAGAAGACCCACAATCGGAAAATCTTGTTCAGTGGTCTTAACGAATCATATAACAATCAGTTTAGGTTCCTGATGTATCATTCAATATAAACACAGATGCTGGGAGATCTATTTCATATCCATGCAGTAAAATCAAAACATGGGCAGAAACCAAATCAATCTTGCCTCGACCCAAAGTTCTCATCAGTATCAGCTCCTGATACTTGGGAACATAGAAAAGAAAAAGAATTTCATGGAAATCTCTTAACAGATCAGTTTCATCCCCGAGAAAAAATGGATTTGCATGTGCAGAATAATACTATCTTTACCAGATCCGATCATGGATTTAGAATGTCTGTAATCACTTGCCAGCAGATTCTAAACAATAGATATCATGTTATTGATTCAACTGCTATCAATAAATACAGTTCCCAGAGATATGCATTATCAATACCTTAAACAAAATACTGCATCCGTCTCAATTTATGTGAAGGCGTTTGACTGGGCATGGAGTTTAAGAGTGAAACAAACACTTTTTGAAACTTAAGGTCTAAAATAAGTCAGAAATTGTGTGGCTGTAAATCATCTCAATAAGGTTAAAATGAGAAGTTTATAGTTTAAATTATTACGAACGCATAAATTGGGATGGATCGGAGGGAGTGAGCAAAAAGATCTATGCATCATGGATACTTGAATAAATACTTAAGAAGTAATGTATCGGCTGCTTCTTGACTAGTTTGCTGCCAAGCCCTATCCCTATCCTTTAATAAGAGAAAAAAGGGCCTTCATATACAAACAAGAATACAAAAGAAAAAGAAGCTAAGAGATTATGTATCCAGTTAACATTATGGAGAAGCATTTTCACTAGAAGCTTTATAACACTCTTAAAAATCAACTATACAAATGAATGTCCTATCAACTCTTGTCCAAGATATTTTTTTACTAGAAAAGGGGAACCAGAGGTCTACCTGCTTTAACAGTTAAACACATCTATTTCCTTTGCTCATAGAGAAAACATAAACCTACCATACATTATAAATTCATAAAATGCATCCAAACACACAATATTTGGCATTTTGGTCAAAGTTCTAGCAACAGAAACAGAGACATAAACCAAAACCTAAAAGAACAAACAGCACAAGACAAAGAAATTTATGAGAATCAAAAGGCATGAGAAAATAGTACTTTCGGAATCCCGCTCATAATATAACATGAAATGCCTGATATAATCAACTGGATCATCAATGTCAGAAAGTCCTTTAAGAGGAGAACATACTTCATAATCCAAAATAATCTAGTCTCTACAATCTTAAAGTAGATGTATGTTATATTATTGGGTCAGTCACAAACCACATATTTTTAGATGACAGCAGAAAACTTCCTGATGGTAAGAATTATGCTCTTTAGCTGTATGGCAGTTCTCGAAAACAACTACTATGTCTTAGTCCTAAACAAGTTGTGTGAGCCGTATGTACCCTCATTGGCCATGGTTCTCCATTTAAATTCATCTCACGCAACATTATACAAAATTATAGTAAAGATAAAAATTACTAAAAGTACTCTATATTTTCTTCCTGCATGAAAATCGCCTGTAGGACTAAAAGACTCCTAGAAATCATAGGACCAAAAGTAAATGTAATAATATGACTAAAGCTCATTCCATACTAATTGGAATACCCTTAGAAAATCTGTTCCCATTATGACTCATCATTCACTGAGTTTGCATGAATTTCAACAGATGCAGAACTAATAATGTTAATAGTAAGAGTGACCTCGACAGCATTGGCATCCTGGCAGCTGGAATCAGAAACTGACATATCTTTCGTCCCAAATAATCCATCAATGTCATCATTTTCAAATAGCTGATTTGGATTATCGAGAGAACCACTAAATAGCTCTTCATAATTTTCAAAACTCAAGTCCACTTCATCCATATTGAAATCTTGAGAGAAAGGATCATCCTCATATATAGTTGAGGCTTTTACTCCAGAATAACAGTCCTGTGCAAGAACAATAACAACAACATAAGCAACTTCCAAGAAATCTTGTGTCGAATCATTTGGAAGCTATAAGGGAACACACGTTGTGGATAACCATTTTCAAGCATAACATAATAAAATGATGCAGTGAAATCAAATGCTCGACAAAGAATATCAATTTCTCCCCTAAGGCAGAAAAAAGAATCATAAATTACAGTGCATCTTCCTCTACATTTTTAGATCTGTTACTGCTTCATTCTTAGTAGCAATAAAAAAGGAGCTGGTCACTGGAAATCAAAGCTGAAGTTTGTTGAAAGATTCCAGGGGAACAACAAGGTGCAAGATAACCTCAGCTTCATGAGCCCACGAGTGATCTACTAACTTATTGTTCGTCAACGGTATCAAATTGAAGTCCAGGGAAACAGAACTATCAGTTCCGCAACATATCAGCAAGAATTATTAGCTACTCATTATAAGATATCTTTTATAACCTAGATTACCTTTGATGAAGAGATATTCACAGATCCAGCAATATGCTCCACCTTGTTTAGCTTGCTGCCAAGATTAGGCATAGAGGATCCCACCAATATGCTTGATTTGCCTGGGGTATGTATTTCACTCACTTCAACTGTAGCAGATGCATCTTGAGAGTTGAACTTTCCTTGAGGAGCTCGGCTATCCGTAAGACGGTTATCGGTGATGCTCATTGAACCCATTCCCTTCTCACAAGTTGAATCACCACCTAAAGAATTATCTAAGAGAAACGACCAGATAGTAGAGAGTTCTGCAGCAGAAGGGCATCCAGTATAAGAACTAAGTGCTTGTCTATTATGCACTGAACCTGTACCAGAACCAGCATGACCAATCGAATCACAGTTCTTGCAAAGAGAAACCTTCTCCTCAACACGTCTAACAATAGCTGGTTGTGAATTACATCTTTCGCACAAAAGTGTCCTGGAATGGCGCTGTGAAAGGGCATTGGCCGAATGCACATTGCGATCACACGACAGACATAAGCAAGCTGCATCAGACCGGCAATATACAATTGACCGCTGCTCCCCACAGAATTCACACATATGCCCCATCACTTCTCCTCAGTAATCTAAGATTTAAAAAAAATAAAAATAATAACCTCTGTAAATCATCTTTAGCAGGAAAGTTTAGAATTTAAGCAATAGAAGTTGCTTCCTAGTTGAGCACGTACATACAGATTGCTCAAACAATTTGTGCTATGCTGTACCAGAGAATAGAATCTGCATAATCAAAATCCAAATAAAATAGAGAAGTTTTAAGATAGAATCCAACCATATCTTTCACATCTTATCCAAAATGAAAATTCACCCTTCTAACGAAAATTCAAGAATTCAAACCAATATAGCAACAACAACAACAACATATATATAGTTTAATCCCACAAGTGAAGTCTTACCCCTACTTTGGGAGGTAGAGAGGCAAAACGAGAGAGTACTAAATCAAAATTCCACTTCAAATGGAACATTAACTATTACAGAAAACAGAAAATGTTAATAATTAAGTATGCTACTTCACTCAGAAAAGGGGAAAGCTGCCACAAACAAGTTACAACAGAGAATCCAAACAAAAGGTGGAGAACTTTGGCGAGATATTTCTAAGCATCACTAGCTACAGCAAGAAGCAACATCTTTTTCTGTCAGGCAATCACAAATCTATCAATCTCTAAATTCCAATTACTCGGGATCTTTTTCCTCATTCTCTATTTTAGTTGAGTATCTAAAAGTATCTTACCACAACCCTCCTCCTATATCCGGACTCCATAATATTATGTGTGCTGGGCAAAAGTTCAATCAACTAAACCAACCACAAATCCGTTCAAAACAAAAAATCAGCAGCAAAACATATGGTGGGTGGATGGGAAATTAAACCAAGAAAGAGAAAAAGTCAAATATAGCCCAAGCTGCAGACTTAACAGACTTTCACACAAGAGCAAAGAAAACAACTCCAAGAAAATGTGAAAAAGCACACATAAACAGCAAAACTCCAAAAATGAGCCATAAAATCCGAAAATTTCAGCAACCCACAAACAGATCAAACAACAGAACACCATAGGAATAACAAGCAACCCCATTTGAATGAAAAAAAAGATGAAAGCAACCATTTTTACCTGATATAAAAGCTAACCAAACAAAGATTAGCAAGTTCTAGATAAACCCCTTTAATTTATTTAGCAAGCAGCTTTTGGACAATACAACAAAAGAAACTGAACAAGAAAAGATGGACCTTTTTTCAGAATCTGTGTCTACTGTGTGTGTGAGGGGTAAGGGGATTGGTTCTTTTAGGATTGTATGCTGTTGAATAGTTGAGTTTCTGATAACAATAAAAATATAATCTGATAAAAAAAAAGTGCAGGAGAGAGATAAGAAAAGGGAAATAGACAGGGGAAGAAGGTGTAATAGGTGGGACCTTTCTTCTTGTCCCCACTTGAATTGGAAATATACTATATTTTGCTTTTTCTTATGCTTTTTTTTTCTTTATACTAGTGTGAATTTATCATGGACTGGCCGTGTTGATAGTTTGGTTTAAATTGATCATTGATTAAAATTAAAATTAAATTAATTTTATTTATTTTTAAATTTTTAAAATTAAATCAAAAATATAAGTCATCTTTTTTAGTAAAATCAAAATCATATTAAATAATATCAGTTTTTCAAATTTAAAATTAAACCAAATATTTAAGAAAATTTAATTGATTTGATTTTTTAATCATAACCATCAACCCTAGTCATGACTATATTTACATTTTAATTGCATAACAATAGAACTGAATAAAGTAAAATGTATTAATGATGTTAAATTAATAATATAGAAATTATTTTTATTAACTATTTAGTTTGGTGTATTTAAATAAAATTTATTTATTTATATATTTACAAAAATATAACTTATATATATTTTAGTTTTCTACACTCTTAAGGGTAATTATATTCTTAATTTAGTTTTGAATACGTTCATCTCATGTTAAATAGTATAAATACTTTAAAAGCTCGATGATTTAAATCAATTCTTTTAGCCCATATAAAAATATATATACATTTATATTAAAAAAGTTAATGTAAAATATTTTATAAAGATTAAAAAACAAAAAAAAAAGATAGAGAAAAAAAATACGAAAATAATAAGAATAAATAAATAAATAACCAAAATAAAAAAAAATTAGCAATCGACCCTACTAAACTCCGCTATTTATAGTCAAAGAAGGATAATGTGAACAAGTGCTTATGTTCTTATCAAAAAAAAAAAAACTCAACCCCTCAAAAAAATCATAACTCGAAAAAGTTGCAACCCTTTGAAAAAGTCACAACCCTTCTTACAGAAAATGTTCCTACTTTTAGTATAATAAATATAATCAAATACAATATAATATAATAGATAGAAAATATAATAAATTGAGTGTTTCGGTTCAAGGGTATTTTAGTAATTTAAAATTAAAGTTAGAGGTGTTTTTTTATTGGAGGCATTATAGTAATTTAATATTCAAGTTAGGGTGTATGTTTTATATGTTTAATTATAGTAATTTAAAATTAAAGTTAGAGGTGTTTTTTATTGGAGGTATTATAGTAATTTAATATTCAAGTTAGGGAGTATGTTTTATATGTTTAAAAAAAAATGTTTAAAAATCATATAGTGAACAAATGATTGTACGAACAAGTCTTTATTGTGTCTTATAAAAAAGTTGCAATCCTTCAGAAAAGTCAGAACCCTTTAGAAAAATTGAAACTCATCAAAAAAGTCGCAATCCTTTGAAAAATTCATAACTCTTCTGAAAAAGTCATAACTATTTTATAAATAACTTTTTTAAATTTGGGGTATTATAGTAATATAATATCCAGGTTAGGGAGTTCATATTTTTTAGGTAATACATTTAAAAATGAGAGGAAATCTCTCTATTTATAGACAACAAGGGTGGTATAAATATGTCCTTATTGTGCCTTTTTAAAAAAGTTACAATTCTTTAAAATATCACAACTTCATTGAAAAAGCAATAACCCTTTGAAAAAGTCACAACTCTTCTGAAAAGTTATAATCTTACAATGAAAAAAGATGGTTGGTTGTAATATAATATAAATATAAAATATAAGAAATATACTAAATTTGAGTGCTTATAATAGTTTAGCATTCAAGTTAGTAATTTAACATTCAAGTTAGTGGTATCATTATAGTCATGTTCTTAAGGTATTATTGTGTTAGGATTAGCCGTTTTTCATCATGTCAAAAGTTATAACTTATAGCAAATACACAACTTTATTTCTTAAGTAAGTCCACCAAGCAAGCGACATGTTCGATCATGACTTCGATCCGGCCAGCCAGCCCTTCTTGGATCATTCCATAGGTGAGATGTTGGCATTACCCAATAATCTCCCTCTCAACACCTGCTTCATGTAGAATGTTGTTCTTGGGAATCGAATTCACGACCTTGGCTCTGATACCATCTGTTCATGTTAGTACTCTTTTGAACCATATTGATCGTTACAGAAATCTTTGTCACTCCGCAAAAGTTTCATAATCCTAACAAATCTCCCTTTTTGATGATGATAATAATGCCTCAATTTTTAGATGTAGGTACTATGTAGACAATCGCTTAAGTTTAAATAAATAAGTCAATGAGTTATAAATATTGCATACCTCTTAGCTTCCTTTTTTGGCATCATCCAAAAGTTGTTCTCTTCATTAGGCACTCAAGATAAGATAGTGTCAACAAGTCATGACCATTAGGAAAATCATCAAAACAAACAAAACAAGACTAAAGTATAACATAAAATGTATTAAAGAGAGTCAATATTAAAATCAAAACAAGCAAAAGTTGATCAATTCTATTTAACAGACAGATAATCGTCCATACAACATTAAGATACACTCTAATCAGGCAGACAAGATGATCAGCTAAACAACAATAAGGAAGTTAAGGATGTAATATAAACTATAGGCAGGAGGGTCCAACGCTTAGGTGGAGGGTTGAGCATGTGGTAACAGTTGTGTCAACCAGCGAATAGTATGAGCATGTTATGCCCTTTTCTTGGCCAGAGTGTCCTCCAAAATATCTATCCTAACCTGTACTCCCAACCTAGCAAACTTGAGAGAAATAATAGTCGACTCCATAAAAACTCAAAATAATTTTCCCTATATAATTAACAAGTTTATTTTAACGATCTACGTTAATATATTATTAAGCAGGATGAGGGAAAGATAAAACAAAAAAAAAGAGCAAAAGTGGGGTGTCACCTTGATATCCCATAAAAATTGATGAATTATAATTCATTCATTTACTTTTATTCGTTTAAATTTCACTATATTATCTCAGCTGACATTCTCTCTTCTTATACTCATGTACTACTGATATGTTCGTTGGGATCTAATCATTTTTAATCTTATATGATCACATAGTTATCTTAAACATTCTTACGTTTGCTTCACTTATCTTGTGTATATATAATCTTGTCGTATGATAGGTAAGTTTAAAACCACAACAGAACTCTGAACATGTCCCTTTTTTATATATATTTGAATCATGATCCTCCTTCTCCATTTGTTATCTCTCTATTTCTTAACATACCATTAAATAGTGTTTTATTATATACAAAAGAAAAAAAATCTAATATATTCATCAATTTTACGACTTAAAATTGATATATCCCTCATTATAAAAGTTATATGTAGTAGAAACGTTTATCTATAAAAAATAACATGAGTGTTACATTGCGTTTCAACAAATTAATTTGATCTTTTTATTAACAAAGTTTATGTTTAGGTATATTTTTCTGGTGTTTTCTCAACAAGGGTATATTGAAGCCTTTGTAGATGAGTGGTTGACTGTTTCATAGTAGTAGGAAGAGCAACCCAATTCACCTTTTCCAAAACATTCTTTTTTATTTTAGGAATACACATCTTCACGATAACTCAATACGCCTCAAAGATTTCTGTAAGACAGAACTAAGGCTGACAATTGGACAGGACCGGATCAACAAGACCGGTTTTATCAGAATCAGTCCTCGTTACTGGATTTCCTTACCGAAATGGGGTTTACCGTAAAATCCCAAAGGTTCCGCCCGGTCCGTTAGTAACCGAATAGGAACTGAGTTGGACCGAAGCGGAATTGATTCTTACCGAACCATTTGTATCGATAATTTATTTAAAATTTAATTATTATATAATATAATAGTATTAGTTAATAGTATTATTTCATTAAAACTTCAATTTAAAACTTTAAAGTAAATTTTAAAGTTTAAAGTTTAAAGTTTATATTGAATTTAAAGTTTAAAATTGACTTTATCGTTTAAACTTTAAAATTTATATTGAATTTAAAGTCTAAAACATAAAATTAAATTTTATATTAATGTTTAAACTTTAAACTAATATTAAAATAATTGACAATTAAATTTGTAAAATGACTTGAATTAAATGAAAGAGACTATTTTAGAAGAAAATCAAGGCGAATAACCGTATATTTATTCAAATAAATAAATTGTACAATACAAACATTAGAAAGAGATAAAGAGTACGTAATCTAGGTATTCAATATTAATTATTGTACTAACAATTGCATCTTTTTTTAAATTCTTTTCGAAGTTTTGTATCATTTCAAAAGAAAGATTTTTTGGAAGTTGTATTTGTCGTTCTTCTTCCATTGCTTCCATGTCATCATCACTATTATCACCAAATATTTCATCTATTTGGTCTTCTATTTGGCTACTTAATAGTGGTAGTCCGATATTTCTTCTTTCGGCATTGACCAATCTCGAAACAATACCGATATTTTCAAACTATACTTTGCTAATGAATATCGATGATCTCCAATTGTAAATCTCGTCGCACTAAAGGCTTGCTCCAAAGCGACCGATGATGCTTGAATCGCTAGCAAATCACGAACAATTCTAGCAAGGGTCGAAAATTGATTTTCACGATTCTTCCACCATACTAAATATTGGAGCTTGAAGTTGTACTTCTTCATGCCTAATATTTTCCCATGCCTTATTGAAATATAAATCAAAATCATTATTAGTAGAGGATTCAAGATCAAAATAATCATTCATCCAATCATCTGTATCATCACTTTTAGGCTTACAAGATGGAGGTTCATCTATTGGAATATTTTTTTCCATAACTTTATATGTATTATATTGATCTCTATCTTTTCTATCAATGTTACTTTTACATTCTTCAACACTGGGAGTTTCATCATCTTTAATTTCTAAATTTTCATAAATATTTTCAACCATTCTTTCAACACTTCTTAATTTATAATTTAGGTTGAAAGTAGTATCAGTCAAATAGATTTGAGGAATAAGGGAAAAAATATTTTTTGAATTTTTCAATCATAAAAGAAAGTGAATCTTTAAATTGA